CCTCCCGGTTGGCCTTAACTACGGCCGACTTATCGCCAGATTCGGCATAAATTTGTGAGCCAGCAGCAGATCTGGAGTTCTGGCTGCGTTACCCACACACACACACACACTGAGAATTACCAACATGATCCATAAATCTTTAACTGTAAACTAAGAAAATAAAAAAAGAAAAATAAAAACCAGCAGCTCAGCTTCGAGTCCAACTTATGCAAACTTTGGACACACGTCCCGAACACACGCTCCCCATCTCCATCTGATCCGTCGATTTCGTCGCGGCGCAAACCCGTTCGGATTTGAACCGCATTGCAACCCGGCTGCCAGTCAGCCAGCCTTGTTATTGATTCACTTGTTGCAGTTGTTGTTGCATTTGTTGTTGTTATTATTGTTATTGCTCTTGTTGCATTGGCCAAACAAACTTGCGACGTGCAACTTGCGGCTCGCATCTGGCCGCAACTGTTGCAGTTGTTTGTGTACTCATAAATAAAGCTTGAAAAATGTTTGCATTGGTCCAGTATATTTTCCTTCTTCCTCTTGCATGTTCTTTGCGGTCGCGTCTGCCGAAACTTATTATCAATTGGCCCAATGTGCCGCCGCAATAAACATGAAAATGCGCTTTATATGAGCTGCGCATTGTGAGCAGCCGCATGGGGTCCATAACGGTACGAGGCCAGGTACCAGTTACCAGGTACAAGACAATTATGTTATGGGGGAGTTGTTTGAGCTTGAATAAGCTACAGCTCTGGCTGTTATCTAAATTAATCAAAATGTTTAAAATATTTAAGCACTGTCCTAGTCAAAGTTTGTCTTTGTCTGCGTTGAACTTCAAAACGGGCTTCACATTAGAGCACGGCCATATAAATATTATTCTATGTCTTCTGATTTCCAGGTACATCCAGGTGGCAGGTTGCCGGTTCAAATTCAGCAGCAACTTTGTCGCTGTCATAGACACAGACGCTTTAGTAGGGAAATGGTCTGAGCGTCGCCAGACTGAGTATGAATTGGGGGCATCGAGATTCCACGAGGACAAAATACATATGTTTTTCAGTTTAGGAATTATTTACAGAGAGTTTTTGCTTTAAAGCAATTAAGGCAAGGCAATGGATATGAAGGATATCCTTCAATTGCTTTAAGTCTGTCAGAGTATTAATCCGGAAAACTCTGATCCATCTTTTATGATAATCATATCTATATATCATCAAGAACTAACTGTGTTGTCTAACCGAACTGCAACTCAATTAATATCAATTCCAGGCTTACACGAATCAGCTGTTCACAAGAGACTAACGCTACTAAAGATTTTTATTGGCTTGAGGATAGCTGAAGAGTGCCCAATGCCTGATCAGACTGAGCTTCAGGTGCACATCAATTGACAAGACATAAATTGTTAAGGTATAACCAGCCCGAATCGGCAATAAAGAACGATTCCAGGCAGTTAACACGCTTAATTATCAGATCACCATAAAAATGGCAAACAGAGGCTGGCAAAAAGGCGCGATAAGCAGGGAGTATCCCGTGGATTGGCTGCATAAAAAGCACACATAAAACTCAGATGTGACCATAACGGACCTGTGGCATGGGGCATGTGGCATGTGGCATATGACAGGGGCAGCTGCAGCTGCCGAAGGTCGTGCCACGCACAACAATTCCATTAACAATCCATTGGTCATGGGCACAGCGTGTCGTACTAGGTGGCTCCTTCGGCTGGATGATGCCTTCCGACTGCTGCCTGCTGCCTCTTGAATGTGGCATGCGGCCTGTTGCAATGTCACTTGATTGACAGCAAACAAGCCAAATGCATTTCAATTAAACGCTAACCGCTACAAATATTTCCATTTGTGCCCGAGCTGGTCAAGTGGCAACTTCTGGCTCTCTAACAACCACTTGTTGCTGCATTTTTTTTTTGTTATTGTTGTTGCCACTTTTTTGTGGCCAGAGACGCGAGAGCCCGCCTTTGGCTTAAGCCAGTGCTGAGAACAATCCGCTGGCGGAGCGGTCAACTCATCAGTATGCCGTATAAATTAGAGCATCAAACGGCGCTTTGCCAACTCGGAACTGGTCTATACTGTTATTGGCCATCGTCTAGTATATCCACCTATGTGCTGGTATTTGCTCTGTGTGTGTGTGCGTATCTGTGTGTGTGCCTCAATCTCGCATGCAGCTCAGTGAAGAGTTCAATGCGACGGCAGCAATTGTTGCTGTTGCTGTTGCTGTTGCTGCAGCAACAATTGTTGCCAGCCGCCAGGCTAACGATGTGCTCTGCACTTGTGCATATATTGTTGTTAAATTGATATCAATTTGGCTTAATGCTGCTACCATTATGAGGCCATTATATTGTTAGGCTTGGTCAATGTTAAATAAAACACTTTATTAGCCCCCCACGGCTGCCAGCTGCCAGCTGGCCAAAGGAGTCAACAGCCGTCGCTCGTCCATTGGCGCGTGTTATTTGAACTTCGCCATTGTCCCACAAATATTGCAGCATCATTTGCATACCCTGTAATTTACTGAAAGAGAGGGTAGAAGGGTTCGAGGAGACACAAGTAGGCACAAATATTCTATTGTTGTTTTTTCTATTTGCTATAACAGAATCAGAACTAGATACGTCAAACTTGATATATGGCCTCTCGTCTGGCATGTCCCATCCTCTACTTCAGGGATTATTATAGATATAGTCTTGAGTTTTGGAATATACACAAATAGATATGTCATCTTTCATGGCTGAAATTTGTAGAATGATCGGATGAAGAATATCCGAGTTATTTGAGACTGGAATTTGTATCGTGAAGAAGCATTCCCCACCCTCTACTTCAGGGATTATCATAGATACAACCTTCATTTTTGGAATTTATGAATGTCATCTTTCATTGCTGAAATTTGTAGAACTATCTGGTGAAGAATACCCAAGTTATTTGAGACTGGAACAGAGACAAGCAGAAGAACAGCCGTTGCCTGGGCAGGGCATCTGTTGGTCGGGCACGCCCGACTCACGCCTTACATGTTTTTTATGACAGCATCGTAGAGTAGCTACAGCCAACAAACACATTGCCAACGACATCGACATGCATATTGCAATTTCGGTTGGCGATTTAAACGCCGTTAGACGCCTGCAACTTGTTCGAGAACCTGTATTACAAAGACACAGGCGACAATCTTGGCTGTCTCCTGGAAAAAGCGTTTCACAAAAAAATACAACAAGCCAGTTTTTTATGCCATCAGCTGGACAGGATTTATGTGTGGTCAAATTAAGACATAAATCATATTTGAATTTTATACATTTATAAAATCATAAATAAATAGAAGACGAAGAAGAAGAAGATGTAGTTCGAGCCACGCACCGGAAGTTAACAAGTTTACGAGCTTACGGGTGGCGGCAGGTTGATTGAACTCTTTGGGGTTCGGTCGCGACTAACATGATCATGTTTTGCTATACGCTTCAAAAATTGTGAATAAATAAAATTTAACATGAATTTTGTTTGTTTTGTTATTGTCAGTTAATGATGCTCTGATGATCTAATGGGCTTTAGAGTCACGCGAAAAGAGTCCAGCTAACTATTCACACAGCGGGTTCATTGCACGCTTTTATATGCCCAAATACTTATATGCATCATATCTCACATAGTACTTAAATACTAAGTACCTGACTTTATGTATATAAGGCCCAGTTGCTGAGTAATCAATCGATTGTTGTTATTCATCGCAATAATGCAATCGGACCAAGAAGCAAAGGGGGGTCGGTCTATTGAAATGTTCGTCTGTTTGCAGAGCCCTAAACTTGGTTCAGTTTATACTCGCGCGAGATATAGCGACAGGATTGTGTTATATATTTATATCGGAATCGACCTTCCATAAAACCAAGTTCTCTATTAAGGGTGTTCACGCACAGAGAGAAGATTCATGTACATTCGATTGGCATACTTGATAAGAAGTACGATATGATGAAAGTTAGCATAAGAAATCTTTAAAAAAACTTAATAAAAGAGAAAAGAAGCTGGACACAATCATGCTTAAAATAAGTATATGAGTCTAAGTAATCATTATGTAAGAGAAAACATTCTTGAAATGAGCATAAGAAATAAACAAGAGATAAACAAAGCTCTCGACTTACCAGAAATGAGTATGACAAAACTCGGGCTCGAAGTCCACTTAAGGAACTTTACAACAAACTATTTCCTTTATGTTTTCACAAATGTGTAAAAATGCAATTTCCGACTAGATTGTGTGATCTGTGTGATATGGCAGTCGAATGTTGAGTATTCCATAAGATATTATTCCTATTAATATTCCCTGTTGAAATTATTAGAGGATTCCTCCTGAGGGCTCTAGCCTAGGTCTGCGGGCGAAAAAGTATAATAGAAATTTAATTAGATATTAGAAATAATAATATCAATATAATTGTAAAAACTAAAAACCCCTCTGCTCTATATCATATAGCTCTCACTGTAACTCTCAGTTAAGCACAGATTTTTCGACTGAGCAAAGGTTTTCTTTCCCTTGGAATAATCGATTACGAATTGAGTTCCTGCATGAAGTAGGAAATATATATTATACTACTTATTTGTCGGCAAGGATATTATAATTAAATAATTCAATTAATATTTTACTGGAAACACATAGCATTGCTAAATTGATAGATTTGAGCTCTGCTATTATTATAATTATAATTATGGTTTACGCTGCGAACTTTCAGATGTGTTTCAGGACCTATTGGAACTGTTACCTGCAATTTGCCTGGGCTGCTTCTGCTTCTTGCATCCTCTGACTCTGATTGCAATTGGCGGCGGCACAGGTAACAGCTGCTAGCGATTAACTAATGCTAATCATAGTTCTTGTTTGCTAAACGCTGCTGCAGTATCGTAAATATTGTAATTGGAATCCTGCATGGCCAATCAATTGGCACACACAACACATATATATAAGGCACTGGCCTGGCCGCGGGCCCGCAGAGTTCAACTACGGGAGTCGCCGTTCAATAGTTGGCCACAGTTAGACGCAGTTATTCGATGATGGCCAGCGGGGATTTTCGGTCATATTTGCGCCTGGTGCGCGGCTTCTTTGGCGAATTTCGATCGGTGCTGCGCCAGAAATCGCAGCCGCCACGCCTCGGCTTGCACTACAATCGTGCGTTTATGGTGTATGGGTAAAATTGAAGCTCAAATGTTGGGCAGCAAAAGAAAATCTAATTTGGAGCATTCTGCAGATTGCTCTGCGTCTATCCAAATCGCTGCCTGTTGGCCAATTCCACTTACAAGCACTGCAATCTTTTTATATTGGGCAATTCGAGCGTGTTTCTGCTAACGGTTATGTTGGCCGTACGCGAGTCCACCAATGTCATCGAAATGGGTGACGACTTCGTCTGGATAATTGGGGTCAGTTGTAACTCACACACTTATAGAAGTCCTGCAACGGTTACTCGTGCGATTTAATCAAAACACGACCGAGCGAGCGATTATTCGAGTTCGAATTAATCCGAAGACATGTTCAGTTAAACGCAGCTCATGTTCGCAGAATGTTCGAGCTTAAGTCTTGCCTCAATACACACACAAGTTAGCTTAGCTCGAACACAGCCGAATCGTGTTCGAAGCAAGCTCGAGCTCGAACTCGATCAGTTTGAGCCTTGACTCAAATAATCGTTCGAGTATCCGTTTGACTCAGGCCACATTTGAAATGATAATGCAGCCCCTCTAACAATTTATTTCACAGATAACCCTTGTACTGACCAAAATCTTTTACATTTATTTGTGCGCCAATGAAATCGATGAAGTGATTGAGGATCTGAATTACTATGAGGAAATCTTTAAGCCACATAACCATCTGCCCTTCGAGCTGGCTGAGCATGAGCTGGCGAATGCGGAGATTAAGCGCTTGCAGCGCTTCTGCTACCTGGTCGAGTCGAACATGCTTATCAGTGTGATGTTCTTCATGTTGCTCTTCAATTTTGCAATTGGCGTACAGCCTCTGATTACGGGCCGAGAGCTGCCCTACCATGTGATTTTACCCTTTAGCTGGCATCACGCCGAAGCTCATCCGCACTCGCATACGTTCATTTATGTCTGGCAGTACATCACCTCGCAATGCAATTTGTTGTCCATCTGCAACATTGACCTGCTGGGCATACACTGCTTTGTTCACACAGCTCTCAATCTGAAGATCTTATGCATTGAAATGCGCAAGCTGGGCGAAGGACAGCTCGACAATGACCTGTTCCATGTGCAGTTCTGCAAGATTGTTCAGTTCCATCAGCATATAATACGGTGGGTATTTAATTCCAATCGATTGATTCTATATACTCTGCATCTACCCGACACAGCACTGTGCAGAAGGTCAATCGGGTGTTCCGCGGCTCCTTTATTGCCCAGATGATAGCCAGCTTTGTCTTGATTTCGATGTCCACCTTCGAGACCATGGCCGCCACTCAAGATCCCAAGGTGGCAGCCAAGTTTATCCTCTTCATGATCATCACGTTCGTCCAGCTCTCCTACTGGTGTCTGGCTGGCACTATGGTCTACAGTCAGGTTGGTTTTTCCTTTCCGATATGTCTGATGTAGTTGAGTACTTCCTTGTTTTTTGCAGTCCCTGGATGTGGCCCAGGCTGCGTTCGATCTCAAGGACTGGCATACCAAATCTGTTGTTATCCAGCGCAATATTCTATTCATGATCAGGCGTTGCCAGAGACCACTCGTCTATGCGGGCAGTCCATTGCCGCCCTTCACACTAGCCACCTACTCAATCGTAAGACAATGGGGAATATCTATCTAAAGCCTTTCAGTATGCAGCGCTTTCTCATCAACAGATACTCAAGCAGTGCTACAGAGTCTTGGCTTTGCTGCGCGAATCGATGTAGAATTTAATATAACACAATATAGATTCAGAAAACATTCTGATCAAAGTTTATCTCACAGTTAAATAGCCAAATATATAAGTCATTTTAGCAATTTAATGTGATTCAGCTTCTGTTCAACACTGTTCACAGAAACTCTAGAGCGCTGTCAACACTGCCCAACTATCCTGTCAAATATTTAACAGGTAGATGCACTGCTTGGCAGGCAGTTTATCCAATAAGAACTGCTGGCAACCGAAAATCAAACTTGTCGACTTGTTAAAGCGATTGTTACCTGTGTCAGGAGAATTAACTGGCTAGTCTTCTCCTCCCACTGCATTTTAACTGAACGCCTATTAACATTTTTTTTTTTTTTGAATTGTTACAAATTGCTGTTAACTAATTTATTGCCAATGCGAAGAGCTTCAATTGCAGCAACGCATTTGCTTGACGTGCCACGCCCGCGGCTCATTACAGTTCAGTCGCGCCCACAAGCACACACACCACACACACGCACACACACATACGCACACCCTGGGCACACACCCAGCGACAGGTGGCAGCTGCAAAGCGCATAATATTTAAAATATTCTGCTTTTGCTGATGACCGCTGGTGGTGGGTCCACGAATTGGAGCCAGCCTCGAACTTATTCAAACGTGAAGCGCATTCACATACACAACCCCTCCCCCCCCTCCCCGTGACGCGGGAGCGGCCAACGTTTAGCCACAGCTTTGGGCCAGACATGGAGCAGCGTTTGCCCTTCACATCTGGGAAAGTAGTTGAACCTTCTCTTCTTTTTTTTTTGACTGAATGGTGTTCATGAATTCGAATACACTTGTATTCGTATATGCGAGCGAATGCTACGCCCACAGGTGTTATTCGATGCACATTGGGCCAGAACGGGGGCCGTATCGAGGCAGAACCGTCGCATATGCGCACTCACACCTGTACAGTAGCCACAACCCCATGCTTAACACACCCAGGCGACAGGTGAGCGTGTGTAGTGTGAGTGTGCGTGTGTGTGTGTGGCTATTGTCAACTCGGCTCTGATGGAGTTTTAGGCTTTGCCCGCCGCACTGATTAACATTTGAATTGAAATTCACATATTTAGAACTTTATGCTCGCTTTTGTTATTGTTGTTGTTGTTGTTGTTGTTGTTGTCTCCACATCTAATTAATTCCTCGTCGAGGCCCATTGTTGCCATGGAGTTGCTGCCATGATTGGCACTGCTGCCCCCGCTAATGGTAATGGTATTGGGGTAATGTACCGCGATCCAATTGCAGCCACAGCCCAGCGACAGACCTCTAAAGTCGGCTGGTCAGCCAACGCGTTCAGTTTGTCGCAAATAATTCTAACGATCGGTCGGGCTCTTTTTGTGGTACCGGAGTTATACAGTCGGCGCTATAAGTTCATTTACCAATTTTGAGTGCTTAGTGGATATCAATTAATTACTTTTAAAGATCCTTATTAAACGGTGCGTGCCTCTTCTCAATGCAATAAATGTAATTTGTTCTGGCTTTAAATATAATATAAGTTTGAATTCAGGATCAGAAATTGATGCTCCATATAAAGCAATGTTGGCTTAAAGTGACAAAAGCTCAAGTCTAGTGTGATATCTAGTTGAAATATGAATTAAAAATAATTCAAAAGCTTTTAATTGCAAAACCAAAAAATATATGAAAATCACACGATCACACGAGAAACAAATCGATCAGAAATGTTTTCAATTACAATGAAAACTTGGAATTGAAAACAAATCAAAAGTTTATAGTCTCAAGGGAAAATAAATATGAAAATTAAGATGAAATTTAAGAACACTCGACTAAAAAAAGTCGAATATAAATGCTTAAAATTGTAAAGGACTCGTATGATCCCAGCAAAAATAATTAAATAATATTGAAAAATATTTCAAATTATTCAGAATAATTTCAATATGCATATAAACACAAGAATTGGCAGACACTTTTGTGATTTCAGCATAAATTTAAAAAAAATATATTTGAAGAATTCACAATGATTCTAAAAACTCAACTCCATATGCCAGATGATATTTGTAATATGCCAAATATTATTTTATTTCCATGAAATAAAATCTCTTTCAAATATAATTTCATCATTGAAATGTCGCGCTGGTACAGCCGAACAACGAACACCCTTTGAGGTCAATGCGACAGCTTAGTGAGTTGTACTTTTCAGAAAAATGGAAAATGGAAAATAAAAGAACAGAACTCGATTTGTATTGTGCTAATTCTAAGCATAAATAGATCTGGGCGCACAATAAGCCGGAAGCAACATCCGGAGTTGTGGATCGATATGAGCCGAGCTACACGTAGCATTGTTGGCCATTCGTTTAATGATCCAATTTGGCGTTACGCATTGTGCACATTATGGTGCTGGACGCACAAATATTTAACTATTCATGTGGTATTATTTTTTACCAGTTCAGCATGGAGTGTGGGTTGTGGGATTGTGGGGCTGTGGGGTGGGTTGCGGTGAAATTTGTTGTCACTATTGAGGTCGCGTATTTTTCACATTCATGTACTTCCAATTTTGTTGGTCCAATTTGATGATGTCTGATAAATGCCCACATACTCATTAGCCCTCTGAAACTATAGCAATTCTGGAACACGCGATAGTCAGCTAATAATGCCGCGTTAAGCCTGAACAATTCATTGAGTCAAGCGCGCGACATGGAACTGCGCCTAATATTGATGGCCGCGCTGGCCAGTCTCAGCCTTGGCCAGAGCTACGGTAAGTGCATAGTAAGTGCAGGCAACTGCGAGTCCAGCTAAAGCCCAGCTCCATTCACAGCTCAAACCACCTGCAAGAATGGACTAGGCCGCGTGCTATACGAGCGACTGCCCAACCAGCAGCTGCAGGGCTACGACGACGATGTGGTGCGGGACACGGCGCCGCCGTTCCGCGTGCTGGAGAAGTGCCAGGATCTGTGCCTGCGGGATCGCACCGGCACCAACAATCTGGTGCGCACTTGCACCAGCTTTGACTTTCAGCCGGGCAGCCGCATCACCTCATTTGGCGGCACCTCCGAGTACGAAGAGTCGCTCTGCTATCTCACCTCCGAACAGGCCGGGCCCGAGGGCATCGGCAGCCTGATGCTGGTGCCCAATAGCGTCCACTTCAACGAGATCTGTCTGACATGTAAGTGTGTGGGTGTTGACACCGCCAGCAAATGGCCACTCAAACGTTTTCCTCCACACAATGCAGCCAGCCGCCCCGAGCGTGAGTGTCCCAGTCGACGTTATGTGTTCGAGCGGCATCCGCGCAAGAAACTCAAGCTGCCCATCAGCGACATCAAGGAGGTGAGTGAGGGAAACGTAGGAGGTACTCTGCATTTTATTATAGCCTGAGCCCATTTAGAATGGCTTTTGATGTGTTCTTTTATTTATATTCTTGATCACCAAGACACGCTGAGTCGACCTAACCATGTCCGTCTGTGCGCCTACGCATCGATCTCGGAAACTAAAAAAACTTAATGCTTGGGATATGTGTTATGCTAAAGCATTTGCAGAAGGAGCTTGTCATTTGTTCTCCTCGATATCTCTTAACATTTGCATAGTATCGATAAATATCGATTTTGAGAAATACTTCTTTCAGCCTAACTCAAACAGTTTAAGATACTTTTTGCTTAGCGCTGGGCTTAGGGTATCTCTAGTAGAGCACTCCCAAATAAAGATACACTCGAACATTCTAAGACCTAGCTACTTTTCGTGTAACCCAACCATTTCCCTCAATACCAACTGAGCTGGGCTTAGGGTATCCCCTAGTCGGGCACTCCCGACCAAGATTTGTTTCTAATTGCATTGTTGTCGCAGATAACTGCCGCCAATCGCTCGGACTGCGAGGACAAGTGCCTGAATGAGTTCTCATTTGTGTGTCGCTCGGCGAACTTTGATTCCACGATGCGCAGCTGCACGCTGAGCAGATTTACGCGACGCACACATCCGGAACTGATGGAGGATGATCCCAACTCGGACTATCTGGAGAATACTTGCTTAAATGGCAAGCCAAAAGTTTAGCTTGTAAATGTTAGCTCCTAACCAATCAAATTTACAGCTGAACGTCGCTGCGATGGCCTGGCCGTATTTGTCAAGGAGGAGAACAAGCGCCTGGGCGGTCCCTTTGAGGTGGACATATTCAACAATATGACGCTGGAGGAGTGCCAGACCATGTGCCTGCGCGCCGAGAAGTAAACGCAAAGTGCCTGATACTCGTATGCATTAGGCTAATCATTAATTATTCCAGATACTTTTGCCGTTCGGTGGAGTTTGATGATCAAAGCAAACAGTGCATCTTGTCCGAGGAGGATTCCATTTCTCAGAAGGATGACATCAGCATCAGCTCCAGCCCCACACATCATTTTTATGATCTTGTGTGCCTCGATAATCGTAAGTGGCTACCGCAAGTTAGCGCCTAGCTCAATGGCAAACACAGACCAGGACAGACAGGGACGGACAGGGACAGACTACGACTAGGCTTGACTGGACTGGAGCAGAGGCAACGCGTTAAGTGCGCCATTAAACGCTGAGTGGGACTCATAAAGAGACTGCAACGGTTGCTTCTGCTACGACTACGTCTATGTTATGCCATTTGCCATTTGCTGTAGCTGTGTATTCCCGTTGCAGAACGAGCCACCGATTATCCAGATAACTCGGTTACCTCGCACCTCTTCTCGAGCGGCCGTCGGCCAGATACAGCATTCCAGCGTTACCGCAACTCGCGACTGGGCGGCGAGTTTCACTCAGAGATCACGGGCCGTTCGCTCAGCGAGTGCCTGGACGAGTGCCTGCGCCAGACCAGCTTCCAGTGCAGGTGTGTTGTCTTTTCTTGTTTTCTTCTCCCTCTCCCTCTCCACCTATGTGCCAACCCACTCACAACGGTTATGTTCTGCTTCGTACAAATTGCAGGTCTGCGGTTTATAGCGATCGTTTTCGTACTTGTCGCCTCAGTCGGTACAATCAAAAGGATGGCATGCGCATTATATACGATGCTGATTATGATTACTATGAGAATCTA